ATATATAAATATATATATATATATATATATATATATATATATTTTGTCTTAACCTCAACATTATGAGATTCATCAATATTCAGTATAGAGTTTTTTTGTTGTTGTATAGTATTCCTTGTAATGACTATCATAATCAGTTCATTTTCAATGGGATTTTTGGAATGTTTCCAGTTTGGGGATGTTATAAATCATGCTGCTATGGATGTTCTTGTACATGCTTCTTGGAGTATTCGTGCCTTGAGAATGGAATTTTGGGATTATCTCACCATAATTCAGAGACCAGAAGAGCACCTAAAGGAATTAGAAATGTGCACACTGAAGAGAGGAAGGAAGTGCTCTGAGAAGGAAAAATGAAGAGAATTCTTGGTGGCCCCAGAAGTTAGTTTATAACAGTGGGTTGGGTGTGCTAATGCACACCTGTAATCCCAGCAGCTGGGGAGGATGAGGCAGGAGGATCATAAGTTCAAAGCCAGCCTCAGCAATTGAGGTCCGGTCTCAAAAAATAAAAAAGGTTGGGGATGTAGCTCAGTGGTTTAGGGTCCTTGGGTTCAATTCCTGGTACACCCACCCACACACACACAAACACACACACAAAAAGACAATAATGGGTGGCAGTGATTCTCACCCTTGACTTCACAATGGAACCACCTGTGAAGTCTTAAAAAGTACTTAATGCCTTGCCTGAGCTGATTTAATTAGTATGAGGTGCTGCTTTGAATTTTATTGAACTCACTTCATTGATTTCTAAATTGAGAAAGAAGAATAACACATTATATTTTTGTTTCTTTTTCTGTGGTGCTGGGGACTGAATTCAGGGCCTTGTGCATGGTAGGCAAGTGCTCTACCATTGAGCTGCACCTTACAGTCCAGAGTAATAAATTTTAGGAAGATATTTATGGAAATCTTTTTTGAACTAATGTTTGATTAATCAGCAGCTTCAGTTTATTAAAAGAGCCTATTCCATTCTCCCAATGTAATTAAATGATGTCTTGCTGTTTTTTAAAACATTTTTGGAAAACATTTCAAAACTAATAAAAGACAAAAACAATAAACTCATGTATATCCTTTACCTAGGCTAATAATTTTTAATATTTCACATTTGCTTTATTGATGAACAATTTGAGGGTAGTTTTTGTTGGTTTTTGGTAATGGGAATTAAATACAGGGACGTTTCTACTAAAGCTATACCTCCAGTCCCCCAGTTGCCAAGTCTGGCTTCTAACTTGCAATCCTCCTGCCTCAGCCTCCCAAATTGCTGGGATTATAGGTGTGTGCCATCTGAGGGTAATGTGAAGACCTTTTATGATCTCCTAAGAACAATTGCATTTGTTATATAACTACAGTACAATTATAAAAGTCAGAGACGCTAACTTGTATACAGTTCTAATTACAATAGAAAATCTGTAGTCCATGCTAAAACTTGCCAATTTTTCTCAGCAACGTCCTGAGTAGCAATGCATTTCCTGTTTTAGGATCCAGTTGAGAACATTCACTGTTGTCCCTTTTAGTTTCCTTCAGTCTTGGATAGCTCTTCATCCTTATTTTTGTCTTTCATGATGTTTTTGAAGCAAGGCCCCATCACATCAGAAGACCTATCCTGTTGGTTTGTCCTGTTATTGGTGTTAGCATTAACAACTTGGTTAGTGTTAGATTTTGCAAGGTAAAGACTCTTTTGTTTCTTTGTTTAAAAAATCCTTGTTCCTATGTAAATATCCTTTCTGCAGTGAATTTTCACCATGATTTTAATGCCTACTAATTTTGCCCAAATCATGTTATCATGAAACTTGCAAAATGTTGCTGTTCTAACTTTATATCATTCTTTCTAAGTTACTTGGTATTTGACTATAAACAAAATCTGGGGCTGCAAATATAGCTTAATGGTAGAGTGCTTGTCTAGCATGTACATTTATTTATTAACAGATTGTGTTTGTTTTGTGGGGTTTTTTTTTTTTTGCACAGTCCTGGAGATTGAGCCCAAGTTCTCTCACATGTTAAGCATGCAGTCTACCCCTAAGCTACATCCCCAGCCCTTTTTATTTTTTATGATGAGGATGAGGATGAGGAGGAGTGTGTGTGTGTGCGTGTGTGTGTGTGTGTGTGTGTGTGTGGTGTTGGGGATTGAACCCAAGGCCTGGGAATGCCAAGCCTCATCTCTTTTTATTCTGAAACAGCCTCATAGAGTTGCTGAGGTTGGCCTCTTAACTTGAAATCCTACTGTTTCAGCTTCCAGAGTATTTTCCCTGGTTTTGACCAGTGGAAACCTCTTAAACATGGTCCTTGTTCCTTTTGATAAGACCACATCTTTCTTTTTTTGGCACTAGAGATTGAACCCAAGGATGCTTAACCACTGAGCCACATCCTCAGCCCTTCTTATTTTTTATTTTGAGACAGGGTCTCACTGAATTGCTTAGGTCCTCGATAAATTGTTGAGGCTGGCTTTGAACTTGCAATCCTTCTGCCTCAACCTCCTGAGCTGCCAGGATTATAGCCCCACCACACCCAGCAAGACCAAATTATTATTATTATTTTTTTGTTGTTGCACATGGACACAATGCCTTTATTTTGTTTATTTATTTTTATGTGGTGCTTAGGTTTGAACCCAGTGCCTCACACATGCTAGGCAAGTGCTCTACCACTGAGCCATAACCCCAGCCCCCAAATTATTCTTTAGCTACTTGCAGAAATTGTTTCAGATGATTATACTTTTACTGCTGCCACCTGGGTAGTGAGCATTTCTCCCATGGGACTATTATTTAGAAATCAGTATCTAGACACCTGGTGTGCTCATTCTTCTGGGTTATTGCCTATGGTCTTTTCAGAGGCCAGAACTAGAAACATTAAATTTTACTTATTTTAAACCTATTTTTAATCATTCCTCTTTTAACATTTTTAGTCGTAATTAGACACAATTCCTTATTTATTTTTATGTGATAGAGGATTGAACCCAGTGCCTTGCACATGCTAGGCAAGTGCTCTACCCTAGCTTCATTGCTCCAATTTCATTCATTTTTTCCTCTCCTTTTCCCATTACCGATTCCATATTCACAAAGAACAAACTTTGGCTCCCAATCTACATTATTTATGAGATTCATTCATTCTGTTATTCTTTTGCTAGGACATAACCTCAACAAGGGTGGTTGACTTTTTTCATTGCTGCTAGTGTGGAACCTAGGCCTCAGACATTTGACACATATTTGTTGAATAAGTGAATGCCAGGTTAAACTGACTTTGAATTCATCACTCCTGGCAGAAATCGCCACAACCTGATGGGCTTAGAGCAGAGCTTGATAAATCCCCGCCCCCACAGCTTTTGGAAGGCGGTGGAAGATTGGGAAAGTGTACAATCCCAGGTGGTAAACATTAAGGCTTGGGAGATACTCAAGAGGAGTCAGCAGCCACAGGACAAGGACATCTCTTATGGCCGCCTAAGTCCACATCAATGGCTGAGCAAGTATCCAAACTGCCTGCGTTCAAGCGTTTCAAAGGCTGGAGCCCGCCCCACAGAGCAGGCGCTTTAAACTAGGCTGCTAAGATAAAATATGACCCGAATTCAGACAGGGATGCTGGGGAAAGAATGAGGGAGCCCTACCTAAGCCCAGGAACCTTCCGCAGCCAAGCCCTACAGCTCGGCCTCCTAGAAGCTTCCGGGTTCCATTCCAGGCCTTCAGTACGGCTTGACAACAAGCTCCACCCTATGCAGCAAACGCCGTGCGCTGATTGGCTGTCTCTAAAACCGCGGCCCTATGGTCGCGGTCTTGGTTAACTTCGAGCTCCAACGCCGGCTCCAGTCCCGGGACTCTCGGCTTCCTATTAGACTACCAG